CTAATCTTTGTGATACAAAGCAAAAATTCAGAAATTAAATATGATGTCAATAGACACCACACAAACAAGGAGAAATAATGAAAATCTCACCCACTCCCATTATTGTCGAGTTTCCATAGTGAGTAAATGCTGAAGCCAAGCCGGTGCATCTCGGGCGTCGTATGATTGGGATTGACCATTCCGGTTGAGACAAACCTCATTGCTGAGCCTCCAACGCGAGCAGATGATGAAGCCACACCGGAGCATTACGGGCGATGTATGATTGATGTCGAAGGTCGCGCGTGACGCTCAAAGCAATTGCCGCTGCAGTTTCATTGCGTTCAGGAAGGGCATGATCCAAACTCCATGATTCAATCCTTGCAAGGAGGAAGAAAATGCTGTGACGAATATGGCTGAGACTAAGATAATTCGTCGTGGTAAGAGTATCATGTAGGGTTGCAGAGATGACGCCAAAGATGGATTCAGTCCATGGATAATGGATATGCAGAGTAAAAGAGAGAATGACATAAGGATTCAGATGTGACGTGACATATATGACATTTCAGACCTACCAATTTCTTACAATTTGTAAATACTCGCGTAACACTTATTTGTCATTCAAACACTTCAATTAAAATTTGTGATATTAAATAAAAGTGCTGTCCGGTCAGTTTTTTTTTAATGGTATCCTGCTGGCTGGTTTGTTGCATTCGTATAAATAGTGTAATTCTATAAAGTGGTTTCACCAGTAATACCACTTAAAAGTCTACCAGGCTTGCAGGTTTTGAGATTAGTGTTGTGCCAAAAAGCTATAAACTTAATTTAGTTGAATTAAGCAAAAAGTGTTGCTAGTGGCTTAAAGCTATCAGATTAAGAAAATACAGATTAGTCAAGAAAAGGAAAGAAAGAGTTAAATCAATAAGTATCAGTCCTTTCGGGAACATTTGATCAAATCAATAGTATTGTTTTGTGATAGTAATTAAATAAAAGGACAGTGACAAAAAAAAAAGTAATTAAATAAAAGGCCTAGTGGGCTGGCTAATGGACTATCTCTTTAATTTTCAAGCATGCGAATCGTAATAAACTTAGGAAAATAAAAGTGGAAGACATGCTCTGTTTAAGTGGTCGCTGTCTTCACTCTCTAATCTTATCTGTGTATTTGGCAGTTGAATCTCTCTGCATGCAAAATCTAATTTTAGATTTCGTGTTGGATTCTCAATACTATATTAAATCCCAGTGTACCCCTATCATCAAACGTCAACGTTAAAATTATATCGTACATATGTGTGCGTCTCTCTTCGTGACTTCGTGTGAAGGATAACGATATAATTTAATTGTTTATCGAAATTTTAATGATTTGTCTATTATTGTGTTTCTCCGATCTCTTTCACCCATACATGCAAAATCTCCTGCATTTCTGTCTCGTTCGGGTAATTATGCAAATGATAGTGGTCCTAATTTTAAAAATATCTTAGAAAATGATCTCTTCAACACAAAAATACCTTTTTTCCAACGTGTGTTTAAGTTCAATAACTACGCACATGTGAGATATATACTTTTGAAATTGGAATATTCATATAGATGAGTTAGCATTAATATTTAGTAAACTGACATTACCAACCAGATGTTTTTGCTTTGATGGATAGTTCTATATGTTGCACTTGATTCTATATAGATACTAATAAAACTGGATTTATTATAACCCGTACCAAAAAAGCTGGACCAGCATGAGAGCCTTGGATTTGTGTTGCTTTAGTTAACCAGCCAATCTGATTCTGAGGGCTACAGACGGTTCTGAACATTGGTTAGTAAAATATTATTCTATACTCTTCAAACTCTCCAAATATTTTAAAATGGTTTTTTATATATTTTAGTTTCTGAATTTGTAAGAATATATATCTTTTACTAAATTGTCGTTTTCTGGGGCCCTGCTAAAAACATAAATATTTAGTAATTCGTGTTTTAGTGTTTAGTTTGTTCATGTATTCTAATACTAGTTCCATTAGAACTCAAGATATGGAAGAATGTGAAAGCACAGTTTGCTATAATTGCTTTCTCTACTGCAAAGATTAGATAGTTTGATAAAGAAAATCGAATGAAGTTTTATAATCAAACCAATAGCCATGTTCGTTTTAGGGGGTATAATGGGCATTGCTTAGTCAGCAAGAGGCCACGTCTTTTTGTTAATGTCAGTTGCGGTTTTGGCGGTTGTTAACATTTTTTTCTTGTGATGTCGTTTGATTAAGAGTTTCAAAGTTTAAAAAAAAAAAGAAAAGAGTTTCAATGTTTTATAAAAGCTTTGAGAGTGAAAAATAATCAAGAAAACTTTTGTGGAAAAGACATAAACGCAAATTTTATATGGTACTACTATTTAATTTTGCTATTTGGTGGGATAAATAATTATTACCAATATCAAAGGAAGGAAAGCAGGCCCTCTTCGTGCATATGATTTCCCTCCAAAACAACTGCTCCAACAATCCTTTTTTTCCTTCCAACAAAATAATTCACACTGAAAATCTGTCTCTTGATCACTTTCATGCAAAAATAATTTAACTATCTTAGGCAACTTCTTTCCTAACCTCAAACTACTGTTTCCGACAATTCTAATCAGTTGTTTAAGGGTATTCATATTCGTCATTGATCGTGTGTAATATAGAGTATTGTTTATATAAATCCATTTCATGCTACTTTTCTTTTTTCGTTTGTCAGAATTTATTTTTTTGAGTCGCGGCCTAAAAAGACATGAGAGATAAGAACTTAGCTATTAGATTGTCGTGTTTGATTGATTTTGTAACGAAAGTAAAATTATAAAACACCCGAAAAATACACTATTAGAGTTGTCGTTGCCTTCTATTCGAAGGAATTTTTGATATGATATCCCTCGTGAAAAAAACAAACCTAATATGCTCATTGAAAGGATGATTCAATTCATTTTAATGCTTTAATCATTAAAATAAAGTTTTTTGCTTTTACCACTGCTTAGTCCATTATTAGGAGAACATTCACTCATAAAAAAAATAATCCAAAGCAACCCTTTTTACCCGTAAGAAAATTTGAGCATTATTAAATAAAATCTGATGGGATTCAGAAATTATCGGTTTTTCAAATTATGTTTCTAGTAACAAAATCCTGATTAGTCCATCGTTGCAAGTCATAATCCCAAAAAATGTTGTTATAAGTCCAGAAATGATAACTTTTTTTTTTTTGAATATGTGAATTTTTTTTTCCTTTGAGCAACATGTGATTCTTATTTAAATTTCCTTTGCTGCAGTTTGCAGGTATTTGACCAGCGACTACATTAAAAGCAAATTATCCAACAGAAAATACGTTTTTTAGTGGTCAGAATCAGATACGACATAAGAGTATAATTATATTTATCACTTGTCTTCAAATTTTATATTGCAGTTATGAAAGGTTAATATATATAAATCATGTAAAAGTATAAAAAACAAAAGGTTTATTGATAAACCGAACCAAACCGTTTAGATATAAGCCGAGTAATGAAATTATTGCAATAACCGAACTTGGTTAATTTACATTTGAATGGAAAAGATACACTAAATCTATTAACCAAAATAATAATTTTATATTTAAGAAGACATCAATGTATGAATGAAAAGTGGAAACCAATATATATCAACATCTCAAACGATTCTATACACCGATTAATCTTTTTAGTTACTAACTTATCAATTACAATAATGCAAGACGAATATTGATCTTTGTCAAAAAAAAAAGGAATCTTGATCAGTATGAGTAAATTATTTTCATTTTTAAATTGGAAACGAGTGGTGTTTAGGCGAAAGTCATTAAAGATGGATGGGTAGTAAAACGGCGCCCGTAGAGGTGTCTTATCCTATATTACAGCTGGTTGTGACAGACATCCTAGCCTACGTAATTTTGCGCTTTACTGTACGTAACGTATGTATGCATGTATCCACATTACGTATATAAAAAAGTTATCGTAAATTTCGAGGATCTATGAAATATGGAAGAAAGTCATCGCTTAATATAAGTATCTTTCGTCCAAAAAAAAAGGAAGAAAGTCATCGAAAAAATAATTGGTTCAGTAACGGTTTAAATTTAATTTGTTTCGTGCATCGGGATGGGATCTTGTTCGCCTTTTCCAACAATAAATCTCTTAACCCAACCTGTTAAACTCCTAACTACAATGTATTGCTGAAGGTACAAACATGTCACATATATATGGACAGCGTCACAGCATTGTGTACAATATTATTGTTTGATATAATTGCAAAATCAAACATAAATACGAGTAGCGATTCATTTGGAAGATAACGAAATAAGTAGATGAATTCAAAGAATACAGAGTTATAATTGTCGGGTCATTTAGAGCCGTGGCCGAAAGTTTCGTCGTAATTTCTACGGTTGGGTCAGGAAAATATTTGGAGTTTTCTTCATCCTTTTGTGGACTTCTGTATAGTTTTGTCAGTTTATATGTTTGTATTCGTATCTACTTTTTTCCCATATAATGATACGTACGTTAACGATTAGCAGACGTTTAATTTCAGATTTATGATCATCTTTCTGTTAAAATATGTGATTTGTGCTCAACAAGAAAAAAGTACGATAAAAACAACCCTAAAATGATTATTAAAAATAATCATGGAGATGTTAAAAGTTACTTAGATACATATATAGATTAATTCCACTAAGCTTTGAGAATGGTTATTATAACTAATATATCTGCGAGAACGACCATATTTTTATTTTGCAAAAAATGGCGTTATGCGTCTCCAATAGTAGCAAAGGAGTGTTTTGTTTGTATTAAACCATATCTCATAGCCATAAAAGTGTATTAATATTCAAATGTTTCCAGACTATAGAAAAAAATAATATAGTAGTAAGGTGGAATATGGGGAATTTGTAGGGCTAAAAGCGAAAATGAAAATAAAAATGAAATAAAAATTAAAGAAACGTCTTTCTCAATAAGAACACAGATCCCAAAGGATTCAAACATCAAAAAATTCGTGCATTGCTCTCCTCTCTTTTCATCAAAAACACTCTCTCATATCCTTTCACTTTTCGTTGGAAACAAAGAGAGAATAATGATGGTGTATCCGTTCTCTATGATTGCTATTTAGTTAACCACTTCAAGAGCTTAAAAAAGAAGAGAATTGCCATAGGGTATATTGAAGAAAGAAGAGAAGCAGCAAAAAAAACTATGAAGTCTTTCTGTGATAATGATGATAATAGTCATAATAATACGACTAATTTGCTAGGGTTCTCGTTGTCTTCAAATATGTTGAAAATGAATGGAGGAGGAGGAGAAGCTCACTACTCATCTACGTCTGCTTCAGCTGCAACTTCTTCTGTTCCACCACAGCTTGTTGTTGGTGACAACAGTAGCAACTATGGAGTTTGCTACGGATCTAACTCAGCAGCTATGTATTCACAAATGTCTGTGATGCCACTCAGATCTGACGGTTCTCTTTGCTTGATGGAAGCTCTTAACAGATCTTCTCACTCTAATCATCATCACCATACTCAAGGTTTGTAGTAATGTGGAACTAATAAAGCAAAACGTTGAGAATCTTTATTATTACTGTTGTGTCTTGTTGGATGGGAACATGTTTGGTTTTAAGGATTTATGTTTTTATTCATTAAACCCTTTTTTGGTTGTTTTAGTTTCATCTCCCAAGATGGAGGATTTCTTTGGGACCCATCACAACAACACTAGTCACAAAGAAGCCATGGATCTTAGCTTAGATAGTTTATTCTACACTACCACGCATGAGCCAAACAACAACACGAGCTTTCAAGAGTTCTTTAGCTTCCCTCAAACCAGAAACCACCATGTCGAAGAAACAAGAAACTACGAGAATGTCCCTGGTTTGACACATGGAAGAGGAGGGTCTTTTAATGTAGGGGTATATAGGGAATTTCAGCAATCGCTGAGCTTATCCATGAGCCCTGGATCACAATCTAGCTGCATTACTGGCTCTCACCACCACCAAAACCAAGCTCAGATCACTGAAGCTTTGGCCGAGAAAAGTGCTGGATTTGAGACCACAACATTGGTGGCTGCTGCAAAAAAGAAGAGAGGACAAGTTGAAGTTGGGGTTGTTGGACAGAAACAAATTGTTCACAGAAAATCTATTGATACTTTTGGACAAAGAACTTCACAATACCGAGGCGTTACAAGGTTCCTTATTATCATTTCTTAAATATTATTTGACTTTGGTTAGTAAAGTTATTGTACTTATTCCAAGGTTTTAATCATGTAAAACAGACATAGATGGACTGGTAGATATGAAGCTCACCTATGGGACAATAGTTTCAAGAAGGAAGGTCACAGCAGAAAAGGAAGACAAGGTTTTTTATTATTTTACTTTTTGTTCAAGCTTAATTTTTAACTATTGCCATATATTCATTGGACATGTTACTGACATTGGGTTCTTATTTTCTCTATGTGTGATTATGATTTGATGATCCTCTTCTCAGTTTATCTGGGTAAGTACACACTTCAATCTTCATGGACTAAAATGATTTCCACTAAATTTTCTAGAAAAAATAATGATGGATTTTGACTGCTTTTTATTTTATTAAATCATTTTAGGAGGTTATGATATGGAGGAGAAAGCTGCTCGAGCATATGATCTAGCTGCACTCAAGTACTGGGGTCCCTCTACTCACACAAATTTCTCTGTAAACTATTTTCTCTTTTTTTTAATATATTTATATTTCCAACTTTATATCTCTTTGACCTTAAAAAGAAAAAAGAACTTATCCTCTCGCCGACAAATAAACGGACAAAACTTCTCCTCCGGTCCGGTGCTGCGTGAGAGCGCGTCCGGCACCGGCGGGGCCTCCTCTTCTCTTTTCTTGTTCTTCTTTTAGCTACTCAACGTGTCTTGTTCGGTCTCTCCGCTTTGCTCGTTTTCTCTGGACCTTCGTGAGATCTCCGGTGAGATTCCTGCGCGCGAGGTGTGTCTTCTCCGGTGAGTCCTCGTGTTCTCTGGAGGTACAGCGCGGTTGTAGCAGCGGCGGCTCGTGGGTGGTCGGCTTTTAGGGTTAGAGAGATGATCGATTTTCAATGGTTCAGATCTCTCTCGTCTTGTTCTTGTAGCTCGAGTTGGCTGTGGTGGAGCGTTTCCGGTGGGTTCTGCTTGTACGGCGGAGTCCGCGTGGTGGTGACGTTTGTAGGAGGTAGCTGGAGCTGTTAGGGTATTTAAGTTGGCTTCTTTTGTGTTATGGTTTTGTTGTTGTTTTAGTGTGTTTGGAGCTGTTGTGAGGTTTAGTTTTCATGGTCATGGGAATTGGTTTAGCAGATTATTTTCATCTAGTGGTGGATGCCATGATTGCTTATCGATTCGGTTCTTAGTGGAGAATCCGTGTGGTAAGGTCTCGTCCTAATGATGTTTGTGTATGGGCTTCTCTTGTGGAGTATTTGGACGCTTTGCGTGTCATATGTATATCCGTAGGTTTTGTGAATCGTAAAGAGGTTCTACCGGTCGGGTGATGAAGTCTCAGGGTGTGGGTTCTTGGATGGTATCGCATAGCATGCATAGGCAGCAGCGATGAGTCGTGGTGTAGGAGACGGTTATGTTCGTGTGGCAGGGCTAAAAGCAGCAGCGAAAATTCTCAATCATGGTCCACCACAAAGGTGTTCATTCATTTGCTAAACTGGTTTTCCATTCTTTGTTGGGTATTTTTTTTTTGCTTGTTTATGTGTGGTGGGTTTTAGTGTCCCTTCTTATGGGATTTAGTTGCTGAAGAGATCTCCTTTTCCTTCAGATTATGTTGTAGCCTTTGTATTCGAACTTGTTGGTCGCCCCTGTGTGGGTTAGAGTCACCCCTGCGTGGGTTAAAGTAACCGCTTTCTATGGGTTAAAGTAGCCGCTTTCTATGGGCATCTGTTTGTATTGTGTTTTCATGTTTATGAATATAATCCCATTCGACGGAAAAAAAAAAAATATCTCTTTGACCTTAATGTTTTCTCTATTACGCTAAAAAAGCTTTTTTGGGTGGGTTTTAAAAGGTGGAGAATTATCAGAAAGAGATCGATGACATGAAGAACATGACTCGACAAGAATATGTTGCTCACTTGAGAAGGAAAAGCAGTGGTTTCTCTAGGGGTGCGTCCATCTATAGAGGAGTCACCAGGTACCTTAAAGTTCCATTTAAATAATTTTATAATATATAGTTTTAGTTATTTGTTTCATATTGACATAGTGTTTCTATTATATTAGACATCACCAGCATGGGAGGTGGCAAGCTAGGATTGGTAGAGTGGCTGGAAACAAAGATCTCTACCTCGGAACTTTTGGTAATTTTCAACGATGACTTTGATCAATCAAAACCCTTTTCAATTGCTTATATCTCAAGGAATATTATTTACCCTATTAGGAACTCAAGAAGAAGCGGCGGAAGCCTATGATGTAGCAGCAATTAAGTTCCGTGGCACAAACGCTGTGACTAACTTTGACATTACAAGGTACGATGTGGATCGCATAATGTCTAGTAACACACTCTTGTCTGGCGAGTTGGCTCGAAGGAACAGCAAGAGTATCGTTGTCCGCAACAATAGTGACGAGGAAACCGCTGTCGTGGACGGCGGTTCCAATAAAGCAGTGCATAGCCCAGAGAGGGTTTTGAGTTTTCCGGCGATATTTGCGTTGCCTCAAGTTGGTCCGAAGATGTACGGAGCAAATATGGGTTCTTGGACGACAAACCCTAATGCTGAGCTCAAGACCGTTTCACTTACTTTGCCACAGATGCCGGTTTTTGCTGCGTGGGCTGATTCTTGATCCCATTTAATGGATAACTCTGGTTTTCTTGGTTTAGTTGCGAAGTGTTTCGGTTTATCTCCGGTTTTATCTGGTTTGATTAAAATCGGTTTAGTTAATCGGTATAAATAGTCGTTGCTTAAGAGGGCGCGGTATATGTTTCTTTTGAGTAGTATTCATGTGAAACAGAATGAATCTCTCTTTAACATATGAAATTCAATGCATTTCTTTTTTCATAACCTTGTCTCGTAGTTACATATATAAATGAGCACGTAACTCCTATCATGGAAAATGAGTTTGGACAACACAAATTGGTTATTATGAATGTTTAGAAACTCAGCGACCTTGATGGTTATTTACGAAAAGGTGAATATCTTGAAACTGATTTGATGGTTTTGCAATTGATCAGTATGTTAATTTCTTGTGTAGATACAGTAAGAAATATGAAAAGAGAATGTGCATGGAGATGAAATGACCCATATCTAATAATTAGGTTTCTTGACACTTTATTTTTCTTTGGATGCATTGTTCTTTCTAGTACACATAGATAATAAGATGAAAGTGAGTGAAATATGTAGTAGTGTCACTCCAATAATGCGATTTTGCTTTATTGACCATGTCGTCCCGCAACAATCCAACATACCTCATTTCTAAACTCCCTCCTTTTGTCTCTTTTTCACACCCCACCCCTTATCAGCTTTTCCCTAAAGTTTCATCCGAATTCTATAATTCTCTCCTCCATGATTTTTAGGGAACTTTTAAATAAATAGAATATATTTATTTGTTTTTTTAAAAACATAAATGTAGAGAATTCATTGTGTGGAAACTTTTAAGAGCCACTTACTATGAAATAATGATACCTGACGCAATATTACTGTAGCCCCATACGTGGGATAAATGAATAAGTGGTTGGTTCAATGTTGAATAGTCTCCCACACGTGTGGATGAGTTGACCCAAACTCGAATGCAAGTCATTTAATGGGCCATAGACGAGTACGAGTTTGATTACAAATCTGGCCCAATTATAGATTCTAAAAACATGTCTTATGGACTGTCTTTCATGCGTGTGATGTAGAAGAGTTGGTTTTAAGTTTATAGTCTAACATGTTCTATTGGCAACGGCCCATGGCCAAGTTTTATTTAAAAATCCAAGTATTTTTACCAGTTTAGGGCTTTTTGGTGTATAATCAACTCGTTAGAATCAGATTGATCAATATGATAATCAATTCTACGTTGTGGTGGTTGTTTGGTAGCAATATGTCTGCATTCTGTAGGGTTGAAAATATTTTAGTCCACACGAGTCACATGTTTTGGCGCTTAGATATTCCGTCCCAATCGAAATTAATTGCACTTTAATTGCGTCGAAAATGTAAGGTTTGTTTGTTATAGAAGATATGAAGGCACTCGCTCCACGTGTCTTCTTGATAATTTTTGTTGTCACATACGGACCAGGTCATCGTCATCGATAGATTTGGTATAAAAATTAAACCATCATTTTTAGAATATTATAATTAACATTTTTTCATTACAGAAGTCAAGGTTAAAAGAAGTTTGAGACACACACGATATGTCATTGATTCATGTGTTTAGGTTAACTCTGTAATTACTAATTTTCAAAAAATTATTATGTTACAGGTATTTATTGTAGGTTACTGCTTACCTGTATTTTATTTATTAGTTTCATCCTTGGAAACTTTTATGAAATTAAGAAGAAGCCACGATATCGATTCACAACCACTATCTCTTCATCCTTGACATAATAATACAAACAAGATTGTTTTCCTTACACAACAAAATACAACGCGTCGTTTCGTAAAAACCCTCGCTCGAATCACCGGCATTGATTTGTCCCTATTGCGCGTGGCGGAGATTAATGGCCGTCGATCTCTTAATCCTTACAACATCCTTCGCCTCCATATTCGCGTTTCTGCTTCTCTACCTCTTGCGACGTCGCAGCAAGAAGATTGTGAGCAAAATCAACAAACCCTTAACGGTGAAACCTGGAAATAACGACGTTGATATCATCATAGTCGGTGCTGGTGTTGCCGGTGCTGCTCTTGCTCATACACTCGGCAAGGTAATCAAGAGTTATTATAATTTGGTATTCGGTTGTGTTTGAATCTTGTTCGAATTGTTTATTAATTTATTTCATTGTCTCTAGCTTCATTAATTGCAACACAAGCTATATTAGGGTTAGTTCATCATTGTAATTGGTATACGTTTGTATTTGAATCTTATTGAATTGTTTATTACTAAATTATTAGCCATCGTCTCTAGCTTCATTGAATTCTTGCAACACAAGCTATATTAGGGTTAATTCTTCATTATAATTGGTATACGTTTGTATTTGGATCTTTTTGAATTGTTTAGTAATTATTATTCATCTTCTCTAGCTTCATTAAATTCTTGCAGCTTAAGTTATGTTAGGTTTAGTTTTCTTAAGGACAATCGTGTCAAGGATGTGATTGTTTTTGAAACATGGGTTTTGCTTGTTGCTGATTTTATGGTTTCTAGTTAGCGTCACGAAATCAAAGTTAAAAGCTCTTTTTTTGGCTGTTGTAGGAAGGAAGAAGAGTTCACGTTATCGAAAGAGACTTAACCGAACCTGACCGGATTGTCGGTGAGTTGCTTCAGCCAGGTGGATACTTGAAGTTAATCGAACTCGGCCTTGAAGGTATAACCAAAACCAAACAATAAAAAATCATCTCTGTCGCCTAGATTATCACCATGCTGACGTGTTGTGTGTAATGGTTTGTTACTACTTGATTTGTAGATTGTGTAAAGGAGATAGATGCGCAGAGAGTTCTTGGTTATGCACTCTTCAAAGATGGGAAACACACCAAACTCTCTTACCCTTTGGATCAGTTTGATTCTGATGTTGCTGGTCGCAGCTTTCACAATGGTAGATTTGTCCAGAGGATGCGAGAGAAAGCTTCTACACTCCCCAAGTAAGATGTTTTTTTAATCACACATAATTTTAGTTAGCTTATTACTATACAACCAGTGCCGTCTCTAGTCATGTGCAAGAGGAACATTTGCACTAGGTCCATTTTTTTTCTTTTCAAATTTTCTTATAATTAGAGTTTTTTTTTCAATAATTTATAGTCCATTATCGAAAATTGTTTTATTTGTTCTCATAAGTAATGAGCTCAAGTGAGTTTTTTTATTTTTTGTTTAAGTGTTCGAATGGAGCAAGGAACAGTGACATCATTAGTAGAAGAAAACGGAGTAATCAAAGGAGTTCAATACAAAACAAAAGAAGGACAAGAACTCAAATCATTTGCTCCACTCACCATCGTATGTGATGGTTGTTTCTCCAACTTACGTCGCTCTCTATGCAAACCCAAAGTAGAAGTACCATCAAACTTCGTTGGTCTCGTCTTAGAGAACTGCGAACTTCCCTTTCCGAACCACGGCCATGTCGTCCTCGGCGACCCTTCACCCATTCTATTCTACCCAATAAGCAGCTCTGAAGTCCGTTGCTTGGTGGACGTACCTGGCTCCAAACTACCTTCACTCGCAAACGGTGACATGGCTAAGCATCTCAAAACAAACGTTGCACCACAAGTACCTATCGAGATACGAGACGCCTTCCTCTCAGCTGTTGAGAAAGGTAACATAAGAACTATGCCGAACCGAAGCATGCCTGCTGATCCCATCCCTACACCAGGAGCTCTCCTTCTTGGCGACGCGTTTAACATGCGTCATCCTCTGACAGGAGGTGGTATGACCGTTGCATTGTCTGATATAGTCATCCTCCGTGATCTTTTAAACCCTCTCGTTGACTTAACCGATAAAGAGTCTTTGTCCAAGTACATTGAGTCTTTCTACACGTTGAGGAAGCCTGTTGCGTCGACTATTAATACACTCGCGGGGGCTTTGTATAAAGTGTTCTTGGCATCTCCTGATGATGCGAGAAGTGAGATGCGTCGTGCTTGCTTTGATTATCTTAGTCTTGGTGGGGTGTGCTCTTCGGGACCAGTGGCTTTGCTCTCGGGTTTGAACCCGAGACCTATGAGTCTTGTTCTTCATTTCTTCGCAGTGGCTATATTCGGTGTTGGTCGTTTGCTTGTGCCTCTTCCTTCTGTTAAACGGTTGTGGCTTGGAGCTAGACTTATCTCGGTACGTTACTTCTTGAAATAGTAAGCTTTGATTAGTGTAAAAGTAAAAATGTTGAATGTTTTTTTTTGGATTGTTGTGAAACAGAGTGCTTCGGGGATTATATTTCCGATAATAAAAGCAGAAGGTGTGAGGCAAATGTTCTTCCCTCGAACCATTCCTGCCATTTACAGAGCTCCTCCTGCTCATTCTTCTCCTCAGTGATGACATCATAAATATTGCTTTGAAGACTTTTCATGTGTAAGAAAATGTGTTACGTTCACTGAACAGAATATAAGATTTTATCATGTAAAAGTGTGTTTCTCTCTCAGTTAATTGTTAGAAACTTGTTTGTGAGCACTAATAAATTTGGTTAAGCAAGTGTTGCATACGTTGAAAGTGACGAGTAAACTGTATAATAAACTCGTTGATTATCAATAACAAAAGCAAAAGCATAAACACCAAAACTTATTATCTATCCATTGAGCATGCCCAAGTACTAATCTTTTTTTTTTTTTTGTCTTGGGCCTGTAAGCTGAAAACTCACACTTGATGGACTACATACTGCATGCAGTATTATTTACATGTGATATGGGTTTGGAATAGCATGTTATTTAGGCTCTTACCATGAAATTCAGTATTTTTTTAATATGATTACGTCACCGGACGAATCTAGGGTCCAACCGTCCAAGTCTAAACATAATTGCAGTCGTTATGTGAGTTCTGCAGTGACTTTGAATTATCTTCTATATCGGTTTCAAAATTTAATATATCTTTTCTTTTCAAGAAAACTTGTGGAAACTGTTTACCAAAAACTTCAGAATATCCAAATGACTAATAGAATGTCAATCACCTTCAACTAAGAAACAAGAGGGAATGGGCGAGGAATGATATATTGAAAGGGGTCAAAATGGTTTGGAACC